CATGGAACAACGTTTAAGAAAAATCATGATTTATTTCTCATGAGAAAAAATGGCAGAACAAAGGGATCTCGCGAGACACGAATATGACGGATCGAAATTATGATTTCCACGCGCAGAAATGACGCACGGCGAACGATGGTTGGTCGAAAGTCGAATCACGAGAGAAGAAGAAGAAGAAGAAGAAGAAGAAGAAAAAAGAAAAGGCCTATAAAGACATAACGTAAGAGAACCCATAGAATCATGAGCGGCAACCCCATGAAACGGTCGGACGGTAGTTTATTTGAACGATGAACGGGAAGACTCAAATAAAAAAAAAAAAAAGGAACAACGTCGTACCGAAATTGAAATGACGATAAAGAAATAATTTCCATGACAATCCTTGAATACTCATGACAGATCGCATTTACGATAACACTGACAAGATTCCTTCGACACGACTAATGAAAGGAGTTAAGGGTTCAAAGAATAAACAACATTAAAAAGAAAAAAAACAAAAGAGAAAAAAAACAAATATAAGGCGTCTTTGATAAAACGACAACAGGCAGGTAATAACTACTCGACCTTTTTAATTTTAGATAATAGTATTTTTATTTCATATCAATAACGTGACTCCTTATCTATAAACGAACGTATTGAATTGATTGATGAATAAATAAGCTTACAAGTTAATGAGAATAAAATGAGAGAGAAATCAAAACTAGCAACGGCACGACTCCCATCCTTTCTGCCCTGACTTTTCAACTAATTGTAAGACAAGGATATTCCAAATATAGAAGCAAAGTCTAATAAATCGAGGAAAGACTATCCATATATCGTCTTCCGATGGCAATGAGAATCTCGAATTCGGGCCAACCTTTGAGTCTTTCCAACGCGATCGAAGTCTTCCTCTTTTACTCTTGGCTTCGTAATAATGGCTGACGTCGTCGTCTTTCTCTCTCTCTCTCTCTCTCTCTCTCTCTCTCTCTCTCTTGTTACAACCTGACATTTCCCTTAGCGTTTTATCGAGATAATACGGCTTTAGGTCAGAGGGTGTGGCTTCGCCAGATTGATTCGGCGAGGCTCGCTTCTGCGCGCTACGCTTCGTTACCACGAACACACGCGATGAACACGAACACACAGACAAAATGGCCGCTTTCCTTCACCAACAAGCTTTTCATCCATCTTCCTACGTCCCATTTCGCTCGTCGAAATCGATAAATAGAACGAACGAAAGAACCGACCGTACGAAAGGGACGATAAACCTGTCGCTCTATATACCTATTGGCCATCATAAATACGATAGACGATTCGCTTTCGATAATTATGATATATGGCGTGCCACGCAAAGAGCAATTCTCTAACCTTTTTACCGCCAAACTCCGTTTATACGTTTGCATTATGGCGAGGGATGAGAAATGGCGGAACGTTCCCGTAACACCTTACACTTTTTGCCTTTTCTAGACTACCACCACCACCACCTTGCCTTTCGATCGATTTTTCTTAACCTCATTCGTGATCTCCCTCTACTTTATACACTACATACAATATGGATATAGCTACGTATCTTCGCGTTCCTTCTCTCTTCTATGCAAATCCAAAAACAATATCAACGATGAGCAAAATTGATGTAGTCATTTGAAGAGTCCTTGATTTGCGATTATGAACTATTTCGAATGAATATTCTATTTGAGAATTATGAGAGTGTATTTTTTATCCTCTTACAAAAATGGAGAACCAAGTTAACGGGACACCGATTTTTTTTACAATTTTTTTTACGATTTTTACACAATTTTAAGAGTCCATCAAAATTATATACTGTACAAGAGAAGTCTTACACACGCTTTTTTATATACCAATTCGTTTCATATTAAATGGAAAAATAAAATATTAGGCCTCTCTGTTGGCTCAGTGTCCTGACAACTTGATTCTTTTCTTGTTATATTGAAAAGTAAAAATAAGAAAATATCGCTTTGCTGGAGCGAACGTGTCGAATTCAATTGATCTTCTTACTCGATCTTTCCTTGTTAATGCGACAGGAATAAATAGCTCAGCCTGTATGCCCAAAATAAATATGTATTATAGACATCGTATCAGAATTTGATCGATTGTCGTTTTTGTACCATTACGGATCGTGCAAAAGATTTTCTTTGTCGGATGCAACGATACAGATACGATCACGAGCATACAAAATTCAGCTCGCAGCGCAGCCACTCGTATTGCACGTGTCCGACAAACGCACACACAAACACCCGTAGATATTCGAGCGCGTACGGCGATTGTAATAACGACGCGCTATCGACTGCGTGGGTGTTCGTTCTTGCTCTGACAGATTCGAAAACGCATTATTAACACCGATGACCCTGGCTCTATGATTACGCGCATTAATAGCCGGATGGACGAACTTTGCTCGTGGTTCCGCACTATCATTATTGCAACGTGAGAAAGGGACGGAACGAGGGGAACGGGAGAGCTTGCCGAGGTGTCGGATAGAAAGAATAAGAGATATATGAAGGAGGAGAGACCAAGTCAAATAAAAATCAACTAACAGAAGAAGGAGAAATAGAAAAAAAAGCAAACTAATATATTTATCGCACCTTGCATTTTCATAATATTCTCATCATATGTACTTAAACAATTTTCTATTCTTATCATGATGTATTTCACTTTGACATTAGTTAGATATGCTCTAGCATCGCGAGGGAAGAAAGAATGATAAATCAAAATCAAAGAGAGGGCTCATAGACCTCCCGTAAGATTTCCCGTTCCGCTAGACTCTGGAACATTTCATTTCGTTCCCTTTGATTTCATCGTCAATGTTGGAACTTAACCATCGTCATCGCGTCTTCGACCGATTCGAGTTTTGTCTCTCCAACTGGATAGGTACCCTCGCGTCGTACCAGCCACGTACGGGATTTAAATATAATGTTTCGCACGCAAGCGCATGTCGTAGCGCGCTACAAACTCCTTTTCAAATTGCATATCAGGTAGGATCGAGTGTTGCGAGTATACCAATCTTCCGACGATGAATAATTCATTGTGTAAATAATTCATAAATCACCTCGCGCGCGTTCGCCGGACGAACGATGAGCTCTCTCTCTCTCTCCCTCTCCCTCTCCCTCTCCCTCTCCCCCCTCCACCGTCTCTTTCGCTTCGGAATTCCTTACGAAAAGTTTTAACCAATTTACTGTTCTCCCTTTGTCATTGGCGTCATCGTCGTTGTTTATAATATATTTCGAAAGTTCAAGGGTTGAACGAGCGCGCCACCGAAGAAATACGCTACATCAGAAAAAATTGAAAGGGAATACGTCGAAGTCAATTGATAACGAGCTTTCTCTGAATTACGTCAATTAAGAAAATTGCTTATCTACATTTTTATTCTTTTTTTCATTTTTAACCAACGCGATTGTCTGTTACAGATAAATACATTTTAGATGTTACATTTTGACTACATAAATACATCGCTATCGCGTTCCTATTCGAATAGCAAGTTTAAATGATATTACACGTATTCCTAAACTTACTTAATTCTCCGAACTCTTTATTACTCGACTATGCAGTTACTTACGTTAGCACGATTTTCGACCTACATTAGACACACATACATACACAAATACATAGCAGTAACGATGTAATTAGATGAAGTATTCCGCACGAGTAGCACCAAGAAACGCACATTTTTCTTTTCCGATTCCATCCATCGTGGTACTTATACAAGTAGCCACGAGGATTTCTTTTTATTCCATTAAAACATCATGCTTCCGATCCATTAGGAGACGGCTCGTCATTACCGTATATAACCGTATGATTAATAACCGAGTGCCGCTCGGAAAATTACAACAGGACACACACGGGATTCGTGCGCACACGAGATAGCACTGCCAACCAGCAGTGTGGCAATCGTAACGCGTTGCCTTTTCCAACGTTCGCCATAACGTCGTTAATTTCTCTCCTATACGACTACCGTCGAACTTCTTCTTCGAAGAACGGACGCAAACTTCCTATATCCACTGTTTATTAAATGCAACAGATTCCTCTAATACATTTTGACTATTATTCAGAAGATTAATAATAGAAAATTAGATTGTTCAACTATATGGACATATTTTTCCTTTGTATAATGTCATCAAATTGCTTCCTGACATTGATGATATCTAGATAGGATATCATTTACCAAACGTAAGCAAGAAATCCATCGATCATCGAAAAAAAAAAAAAAAAAAAAAAGAAGAAAAGAATGCGAGAGGGAGAGAGAAGAGATGGGCGTTTTGCTGCATGTACCTCGACCAGCGTGGCGCATTAAAATATTTAAAATGTTATGCTCGCACGTTCTCGTCCCGATAGAAAAGGAAGAAGAGAGCTGGTACGCGAGGGCGGCGTTGAACGAATAGAAATCATGCAAAGAATGACGGAGCATCGCCTGCTACCCTGCCTTTTCTTCTTCTTTTTCTTCTTCGATTTTCTCTCTCCACCTCCACCTCCACCTCCACCTCCACCTCCTCTTATCTCTTCCTTCAAGGGGCTCTCATGCGTAGTAACGTTGGGACACGAGGCGTGGGGTGTCGGAAAGACCTCATGCTGCACAGCCCCCGATGTGCTCGTTGCATATTAACGGACCACGAACGACGGTGTACCACCAGCCTTGCGGTGCATCATCGGTGCATCAGCATAATGCAAGTCATTGGACTCGAACGACCCCTCTCCTTCTTCACCCTTTAACTTTTGATTTTATACGCGACGGTCGACTGATCGTTTTAAACAGAGACCATAATTAAAATAAATTTATCTATTTCATTTGTGAAGATCGATATGTCAATGCGGACATCGAACTCACTCGAGACTCGCGCAGAACTTTTGGAGACATCTATGCTCGCAAGCAACGATTTTTACTCGGACGGATAGAAAAAGTTTTTGAATTTTTGAGAAATCGATGAAACAATTTGATTATATAAGGAATTATCGTAAAAATTAGTTGTCCAACACGATGCATCATCATATCTAACATCAATCAATTATGATTTCAGCAGACATCGGACCTGGACACGTTTCTCTGCAGACAAGATCTCGATCGTTTGCCAAAATTAGACGAAGATGACGGGGATAAGGATACGAGGGAATCCTCGGTACACATGGAGGACTTTTTTGAAGTCGGTGGTCCAGTTTGCAGACCACAAGTTAGTTTCATATCGTCGAGGAGTCAACCGGGTGGAAACGACGACGACGTCTTTCTCAGGCCTCCCCTTTGGGAAGACATTACGTCGAGCATTCAAAAGCTCGACCCGGAGAACGCGGATATGTTGGGTTCTCAATCTCATATTAAAATGGAATCCGACGACGTGACATCTCCGGTTCTTTCACCGGTCGAAATAAAAACAGAGCCTTTGCCAGCCCCACCGACTTTACACTTGCTCGAAGGGCCAGCCTCGAATCCGGGACAGAGCTTTTCTAATTCGGGACAGTCTAACGTGTCGTCAGGGGGACAACAACAGCTCGTTCATCATCGGACTACGACTACGACAGCAGCGGCATCTTTCAAAGCTTTCCCGCCGGTTAACTCTGCAAATGGAAATAATGTTGCCGGTAGTACAGGAAACGCAAATACACCCTCCGTTGCAAGCAACAATAACGTTAACAATAACGTTAACAACAACAACAATAATAACAACAACAACAACGGGAATAACAATAACAACGGTAACAGCAACGATAACTCGACGAATCATCACGGATCGTCTCAAGCGCATCAACAAGCTGGTAATGCAACGACTTCACCGCTTTACGGCTCGATGACCAGGTTGATGTACATCTCACCGTTAACACCTCCCATCTCGGATCCTGGTTCGCCCATCGGTGGTGGTCCACCACGACGGACACCGCCTCCGCCCTATCCGCAACCCTCCGTTCTAAATCCGCCCCATCGGATCCAACCGCCACCCATCACGACCAAGTTTAACAGACGAAACAATCCTGAACTCGAAAAGCGACGTGTTCACCACTGTGATTTCATAGGTTAGTCTCGCTTTTCTTCGCTATTCTACTTTCAACGATTTTTCCAATGCAATGAGCCGACCTTTCCTAAAGTTTCTAATAACACAAACATAAAGGCAGTTGAAGAAAAAAACAACCGACAGAATGAACAAAATTATCTTGACTAAATCAAGACGTACGACCGTCGGCTTAAAATCTATCGGTTATCTGTGAGCGTCCTCGTTTTTTGTCTCATGTTAGAGTCTCACCTTTGAAAAATTTACAATATTACGTTTCCTTGGAGATAGGCAAATCCTGGCAAACAAACGAGATACCAATGTTAGGACAACGCTGCGAGCATTTGCTCGTTGTACAATGCCTACGAACTATACCTGCTCGCTTTCGAGGAATCTCGTTCATTGAAAATACGTTCATTGTCATGGGACGCTATAATCTTTGAAACTCGTTTTGCAGCCTTGATTGAAAACTGAAAGATTTCTTACAATTGGTTAAGCTATAAAAATAACAAATCTAGTATAAAAAATTTTTCATATCGAAAAATCAACTTTGAAATTCTCTCTCTCTCTCTCTCTCTCTCTCTCTCTTTCTCTTTCTCAATTCGAGAAGAGAACACGCAATCAGTCAAAAGAACTAAACAATAGCGGCATTTTTAAAACGTTCGCTCTTCCTTGTTTGCAGGTTGTACGAAAGTATACACGAAGAGTTCGCACCTGAAGGCCCATCAGCGAATACATACGGGTAAGTTTACGAATAAGTATACGCGTTTATGTACGCGTATGCGTGAGTGCTTATAGAAGAAACGTAGCAATTTGAAATTGCGACTATTTGCGAACCGATCGCGTCAGGGCGCGGCTAAGGGCAACACGAATAGTATATGCCACTCAACAATTAGGTATGTAGCTCATCCTCGAAGCAGGACAGAGAGTTTGAAAGTGCCAAGTCGGTCCCGACTCTCTTCTTGGCGTGGGCAGGGCGCGGTCTCTCTCTCTAATACCTTTTACTGGCTCTTGGTGTCACAAGAGTCTCTATCATAAGTAAACGTATAAGGAACGACACGAGCATGGCATGCGAGTACTAAAGTGTAACTAGCGACCCACATCCTGTCCGTATCCAAACACATCGCACGGATACTACTTTGCTAAGGTGCGTGTGTGTGTGTGTGTGTGTGTGTGTGTGTGTGTGTGCGTGCGCGCGCGCGCGCGTTTGTTGTGTATCAAAGAGAGAAAGATGAATTAATCGAGACGAGTCTTCGAAAAAAAAGTTCGAGTATCATAGGGATACTAATTAAACTATAAAGAATTTACTTAAAAGAAAAAAATGAAAAATTGATAAAAATAATGTTTGCATGTAAAGTTGGTGATTAAACTTTCACCGTCTTTCCTTCCTTTCTCTCTCTCTCTCTCTCTCTCTCTCTCTCTCTCTCTCTCTCTCTCTCTGACTCTCTTTGTCTCTGTGTGTTATTTGCTTGGACGCATCGAGTAACACACACGTGGTAAACGAACGCTGAAGAAGAAAAAAATACTATTCCTCCACACGTGGCCATTCGACGTCAACCTCTTACGGAATGCAAGCCAGAGGCATCTTAAGTGCGATGTACCACTTTCGAATTGATACCTCGAGGTTTTGCGGTAAGCCGTCATCGTTTCGTACGCATAACTCGTACGAGAAAAGCAGACGAGGGGAAAATGGAATAACAAGAATTGATTGTTCGAAATCTGCCCTGGACAGCAATGAGTTAACATTTAAAAAGATCATTTTGATTGGCTTAAGATGTTTTCCTTTTCTTTATCTTCGTTTCTATTGAAATAACTGACAAAAATATTCACTTCGTTATCTTAAAAGATATTGTCTGTTTCATCCTGTACACCTACATACGTATTAACATACAGGGTGTCCCGGTAATTTTGTTACAAAGCGATATCCGTTATAGGTATATACAACTCGTATATACAACTCGTATATACAACTCGTTTGAGAATCTCACTTCTCAATTATGGAACGCAGTGGCGTAGTTAGCGGTTCGAGAGCCTCAGGCACGTGGCGCGTTCTTCTTGAATGAACGGCCGAGATCGTCTACGTGCCTTTTCACGAAAGAGCATTGCATTCACCGCTTGAGCTTCTCTCTCTCTTCTACTTAATCCACGCGCGCACGCGCACACACGTAACAAATCGTGCATTATCTCAACTCTCTTTCTCTATTGTCATAATTATTTTTGATGAAATACTATATTTTCTTCTTTCTCACATATTTACTTTTATATTATAAAAAAATATACATTTATTGTTAGCATAATCTCTCTCTCCGTTCCGAATAACAACACACGTTCATCCAAAGAACACATGCGTGGTCGCGCGTATTCGAGAAAGATGATCGCCTCGTACGTGTGAGTACGCGAGGCAAGCAACATTCCTGTTTCATCTACACTTCCAACTTTGGAGTACATCTCTTCTCCCGCTTTCCTTTCTCTTGCTCTTTCTATCTCTTTTTCTCTATCGACCTGCCGTAAGCTGTTTACAAGAGTATCGTAAAAAATCGAAAAGCCACTATTTATAGTGGAGAGGAGAGTTTGCGCGATGCGATGCGGTGCGGCGCCTAATTCGAAATTTTTCTTCTTTTTTTTCCTTTACGTTCGTCATACGATACATTTCCTTCTATTAACCAGCTACAATGCCATTTGCTTATTGTTATGTCTCAAGAACAAAATATAACACTTGAAAAAGCAAGTTCGAGTCGAATCGATGGTAGTAGTAGGTATAGGAGTATAGTGGCCCGGGTGAAAGTGATCCAAAATTATCAAGGACGGCCCGAGGCAAAGCGAAACATGCTTCGACAAACTTACTTATATACTTACGAATCTTATTTCTTTCCTTCTTCCTCCCTATAGATCGTTGCTCGCGGCTCTCTGAGCGATATCGAATTAACGAGGAGAAACTATGCGAGATAAAATGACCCGTTCGACCGCGATAAATTCCACAGACGATACCGCTGCATCATCTATCGATTCCTCTTTTATTTCAAATAATCCAATCGTACCGTATCTCTAAGATATCTTCTTCTGAAATCTCTAATTTAAAAATTAATAAATCATATTCTTCCAACTACGTCGGCTTGTTAATAATAAATAAATGACAATTTTACATGGAAAATAGTATTTATTATACACATACATGTACGTATTAAATCGGTGCTAAAATAAATATATTCAATCACATTAATAATTGATTCCTTTGGGTAAACGAATACCTAGAAGGAATCCAGAATTGCAAAAAACAATGTCGAAGACACTCGATCGAATTACTTGATATAATCCGATCGGTAAAAGAGCTTCTTAGATTTCAATCGTAGCTCGGATGATTTAACACCTTTTTCTCGGTAACGGCAATCTGTCAGTGTGATCCTACCTTCTTTCTTTCTCTCTCTCTCTCTCTCTCTCTCTCTCTCTGCATTACTACGAGATTCATTCATGACACCACGAGCCTCGTAGTTTTTTGTCATGGTAAGATATCAAAGAAAACGCCGTAGTCTCGCGTGCGAGCTACTCGATCCTGTCACGTGGTCATCCGTGGAGAAAAAAGGAAAAAAAAAGAACAAGCGAATAATTCTCTGATAGGATGTTTTCACTGAACCTACATTTAATCCACTATTTCTTCTTCCTCTTTTTTGTTTTTATTTATTTTGTTCTTTTTCATTTATTGTTTAATCGACAAATATAAAAAGAATATATGTATTAGGTTAATTAGTTTCGAAAGAAATTAAATGAAAACAATCAATTTAGCGTATACGCGAACTCGCTTACTCGTTTTTTCTATCTCTTTCTCTTTCTAATCTCTTCTCACAGTTTGCCGAATGGAAGAAAATATTCTGACGGATTCTCACGACGCGCGTATACTACCCGTGAATGGACGTGGCTCGTGGTGGTAACACGTCGACCGTGTGGGAGCGTATGCGTGTACCAATCGTGGACCGGTTGGGATCCTTTCCCTAGAGAGACGGAAAGAGAGAGAAAAAGAGACCGTTGCACGGGCCGACGAAACGAGTTGGGATGAGTGGGTGTATCTCTTAACCATCGAGAAGGAAAGAAAGAGGGAAAGAAAGAGGGAAAGAAAGAGGGAAAGAGAGAGAGAGAGATTCTTGTCCTCTTCTTCCTCAGTCCTTCCAACTATAATAACCTTCTTCATTCTGTCTCTCTGAATGCGCACGTTTATCGAACTTTCGCTGTTTCCCAATTGTTCGTCGATTCTTATTCGTTCCATTTGTTTTCCTTCGTTAAAGTTGCATAAATTATTGATATTAATAAAAAGAAAGATTAAATGTAAAATCAGCATCGATCGTTCGTTAATTTAACAATAAGCTTGAAAATCCGCGTAATAGAGGAGAATACAAACGGTGAACTATCTTGGTACATGTGCACATACCTTAATGGCTTAACATCGATGATATTCGTAAATCGGTATCATTAGTTGCTTGCGAAGCTTTGCGTGAGAAATTGTTATTTCAAAGTGTATCTAGCGGGAACATTAGGCTGCACCACGGAGACGCGATTACATCTTGACGAAGAAAATCTTACGAAATTCGATAGCGTATAACTAACTAACTTGCATCTATGTATATACGTACAAGTATATAGTACCTATGTATAATGCACGTCGTCCTAATCGTCGTGGCCCCCGACTGGCTGCCTTGGCGAAGTTAATTGGCAAATGTTAACTGGAATGCGGACGGGTAAGCAAACCGTATCCGCATCGTTGAACTTACCACTCGCCGATAAACGTGTATAAGTATATACAGCGTACATGCGTGGATTAGAACAGATTTACGATATACCTACTTATACACATATAAATCAAGCTAAATTACTTTTAAAACATTATTCTACAAATGTTTGTCGAGTAAAACAAAATGACTTTAAATAAAAAAGTATTTGTCAGAGGAAGGGAGCTGTTTTTTGTAAAACAAAAAGCGTCGATAAGGATAAAGATAGAAAAGGGGATAGTTTTGTTAATCGGGAAAAGTTGGAGCGTTAAAGGAATGTAGGTATGCGCGTTCGCGGTAGCTCTGTCTCTCGTTCCGCTGCATCCTACAACTGGCTCGAGGATCGCAGGCTTATACAGGTGAGCGTGTTGCAGCATGCGAGTACAGTTAAAGGTCACCGCGGCATCTCGACCGGGTACGCGCGCGCGCGCACACACACACACTTTACACCAAGGAGAAAGATAGAAAGAGAAAGAAAAAAAGCATTTCCTAGCAAAGAGCAAACGCTTTGTTTCCTCTAACGAGTGGTGCCCCCGTCCCTTTGTATACTAACGATAATGCTACCCCAATAGGAATAATTCCATTTATTCTCCTTTCGATAGGAAACAACAAAATCTGACGCTTTTGTTTGATTATATTTACAGGAGAAAAACCATACCAGTGCCAGTGGCCGGAATGTGAATGGCGATTCGCGAGAAGCGACGAATTAACGCGGCACTACAGGAAACACACTGGTGCGAAACCATTCAAATGCGCGGTCTGCGAGCGATCGTTCGCAAGGAGCGATCATCTCGCCTTGCACATGAAGAGACATCTACCGAAGCAGCACACCAAGTGAATTTACACCGACCCCGACTCAAACGAAGAAAATTCAAGAAGAAAATATATCAAGGGCTCTTTCTAGCCCTCGGTAGTAAAGGCAACGTAGCGAAAAACATTCTAGGAAAGAATTTCTCTTCGAATCGTTTAGATCTGTTTTCTCACCCTTAAAATCGAGTCAACTTTTCGCGTTGACTCGCAAAAATCAGATCGACATTGTCTTCTTGATCGGTATAAAAAGATAAACTCTATTGAATGATCGAAATGTCCTCTTTTTCTAAAAGGCTGGAAAGAGAACCTATGCTACAAGTTCGCTTTGTATCTCAACGAAACGATTTATTTATTCCAAATAATTTGTTTTTGTCGTTTCGATTGCACCGCTTACCTACGTAGATAAATTAAAGCTAATTCAACTTGGACAGAAATGAAAGGGCTTTCGTCGCTTTACGTCGATAAAAGCTCAATTTTCAAAGGCTTGATATTAAGAAAATTTCGCGTTTAAGAGAATGCACGATCGCTTCGTTTTGTATGTATGTATGTATGTATGTATGTATGTATTACTCTTACTACTACTACTACTACTACTACTACTACTACTACTACTCTTAGAACGTTCGCGAAAGAGGCCGGACAAAATATTCGTTCTCGAATACTTAATCCAAAAGATTCTCACGCGCGTATACATGTCTCTATTTACGAACGTATAACGTCTCCTCTTTCTCCCTCTCGTAGTATTTATTATATCGTTATACCTATCACGGCGTGCAAAAAGAAGTTTCCTATCGAAGCGTGCAATGTTTGACGACGATATTTTCCATCGATAATTGCGGGAGATCGGGAAGGTAAGATTTTTGCTTGCGGCTTGCGTTCGCTGTGGCTGGACCACTAAACGGAAAGAAAAAGTTCCAAACCATTCAAAGATAATAATTATTATATACTTGCCGCCAAAGAGGAAAATAAAAAGATGGCGGCTAACGGAGGTTGGCGAACGGAGGTTGGCGAACGGAGGTTGCCGAACGTTTTCTTCGACTCTTGGAACGAAGCTATCAAGAAAGCTACCACCAACGTGTGGTTTACCTCGATGTTTGTTCACCGGCTAAGGAGGTTATGACGAAACGTATGCCTTCGTGATTGTACGCCGATGGTGTGGGTGGTTGCGAGGAAATATTTCGTCACGGCTCAGCGTTATGTGTTCTCTCTCACAGAAGGAAAGAGGAGAGGGAGGGGTGGGAGAGAAAAGGAGGGAGCTAGGGAGCTAGAGGGAGAGAGAGAGAGAGAGAGAGAGAAAGAGAAGAACGATGCAGATATTGCAGCAAATAGATACGTTCCTCTCCGTTAAAGCTTTAGCCATAGATATCTCGTCTCGGATATCTTACTTTCCGAATCAAAGCGTTGTTACGATCGTAAACTAGGTTGGGACAACTACAACGTGACCTAAAGTGCAAAGGGTTTCGAAGAGAAGCCAAAGCTTCCTTTCGTCGCGACGTAATTATTTGCCGACGATTGTCGTTTAATATTATGACGAATACAATAAACGTATATCGCGTTTTCTACAATATTTTTCACGTTCTAATGTACTACGAGTGCTACCACCTTTGCGAAACATTGAAAAATGAAGAAAAAGAAGGATATGTACGTCTCAACTTTGAAAATCGGAAAGTTTTGAAAAAAAGTCGGAACTTTGAAACACGAGCAAAAGGTGAAGAAAGAGTCGTGCATGTCGATGCGAAACGGCTGCGGCCAGTGGCTGATATCCAGTGATGCCTCATGTACAAATTCTTTTAGGAGGTTTTAACGATTATTAGAGATTTATTAAGCGCGTCCCCACGTTCATTCCCGATTCCGAAACGTAGCGATACCTAACGTTTCGCGATTCGTATCTCTATTCTAATGAAATCTACGCACTTGTGTATGTATACGTGTATAAAAAGAAGTAAGAAGATAACAAGAAGAAAACTTTGCAAATACTTAATCCCCACTGTAGTTAATGTAATATTATTTGTATAGCGTCGCCTCGTACCCCTACGAGGATACTACTCCGTGTACTTTGAACCCTCCGTCACGCAATCCCTATTCCTCTACTTATTAATTATCTTTATAGACTTTGTTCTACCTATTTTAGAAGACGAGCAGCGAGAAACGTGCATTTGTGATAAGACGAAAAGACCTCGAAGAATCTGAACAAAATCCTCAAAGAGGACGTGATTTTCAACGAGTTCGCATTACAAATAGAGATCATATTTATGTTTCATTTCAACTACAAACATTCTAATCCATCTCTTCCATTCCTATTTTCTATCAAATTCAATGGACGTAAAATAAAAAGAAATATATATTCGAAAATTTTAATACCCTGCTAAAAATGAACTATTCTCACGAATGTGCATTGATAATTATGCAAATGGTCGAAATTGTCTAATTTGCCCAAAAAAATAATAAGGTAAAAAAAAAGATAATGAAATAAATCGCTGTAATTGAAGTTTAACGAAATCAGATCTCCTTTTATTTGTTTATTTGAAAGTGCGTTGTCGCATCGTCATGTATCATAAGTGTATATACAGCGCGTATTTCTTCCTATTACGTGTCTCGAATGAATGAATGAAAAGGTAATCAAAAGAATCGAACATATGCGCGCTTTATATGCTACCATATTCTATGTATATTTGCGATAGAAAAACAATTCAAAAAAGATAGCAAAGAAATGCAAGTAATTTAAATTGTCGCGATGTATGTACGTAATTAGATATAATATCTATCTTGTTCTATCGCATTTCTCCTTAACCGCTCGTTTATTATAAAGAATCCTTATCGAACAAAATATGTCTAACTTAAGCCTATTTTACCTCATCCAACAAGGTATCAAGCTCTAAGCCATCATTTATTTTAAGCAATATTTACTTTTGCCTTTTTCATAGACGAATTTAACGATCATTCGTCGCACCGAATCTGTTAATTTTAATATACGAAATATACCTCATGTTACGCGAACAAAAAAAAAGACGAAAGAGAAGAGTGGGATCGAACATTCGTGCACATTTCCTACTTCATTTCCTATTGTTTGTTCATAATGTTAATAAGATGCTGTAATTTGTGTGTCGTGTAATTTAAATATACTATGATATATATACATATATATATATATATATATATAAAATATGTATTTGTATGTATACGTAATATACAATTCCTATTTGATCGAATATATTCAGATTTTTCTTTTATTTTAGCCCGCATTTCTTTCGTCGAAAAATATTGTAATTTAAAATAGCAAATTTCATTCCAAGATTAGAAATTAATGAGGTTTTTTAAACATATTTTGCTTCGATGATATTATACATTTAAAAGTAAGGCCAATGTAAAATACGATACCAACAATTTTATCTACAGATAAATTACGCAGAGTTTATAATTCGTCCATCTATTCAAATTAAATCATATCTTCGTATTACTACAAAAATTATAAACTTCTAATTATAAGATTATATTTGGACAGTTAAACTATATCTGTACTTCTATCTAGCAGTACATAAACTTGACGAGTGCTCAGTCGGTATTGTGATGATCTTTCTTATCAATGAGGGAGCACAAGCGCCATCTACATTTCTTGTTTAATCTGCGTATTACGTTTAACAAAACATATAACAAGTGTATCTATCAAAACACGTGGAAAAATATGTACATATGCATATTTAGAAAATTTGACGATATTATATTTCTGCTATCTTAAAATACATTTATATTTTTTTGATGCATTACAACCGATTTAACGAAATGACATTGCTATAAAAAGTAAAGCTCTTATTTGAAACATAACCTGAAATGAAACAGTAGATCTTTGCGAATCGTACGTTTGGTAGTTATATTTTATTTACTCGTTAAATTACAAAAGCTTGGTTAATTTTTATTTACACTTTACAACAATTGAGGGATAATTGAAAGTATTTACTTATTTAATTGTTTACATTTTCAAACTATTTTTCATCGTCATGGCCGAGCCAATTGTTGATAAACGCTTTGCACATATTACAAGGGATCCCAAATTTAAAAGGATTCCAAAAAATGAGCGTAAAATTAAAATAGATAAGAGATTTCAAAGTATGTTTAATGACAAAAAATTTTCAATCAAATATACGGTCGATAAACGTGGTAAACCTATTAACCAAACTTCTATGGAAAATCTTCAAAAATACTATGAACAAACTAGTAGCGAAGATGAATCTGATACCGAGACTAGTACGAATACAAAAAAAGATCGAAAAAAGGGAATATCGAAACATAATAATAGAATAGTGCACGATGAAACTAAAGATGCGAGTCGGAAGGAAAAAAATGATTCGGATGGATCTATTTCTATTCGGAATAACCCAATTGTTACAAAATCAAAGGAAGAAGGAGACGAGAATCTATGTACCGCTAGCTCATCTTGTACAATTGATTTGGATGAGGACTTGAAGGAAAATCATAAACAGTTATATATAAAAGATAAAGATGAACATTTAAAATTAACTAATCAAATAAAAGAGAAATTACAAGATCTTTCTGTTAATTATGCGAGGGGTGAAGGAACTTTACTAACCGATAGTTCTTCTGATGAAGAAACTTCCGAATACAGTGGTAAGTAATACTATATTGCGCCTTAGTTTTGATCTAAATTTTGTGTATAAACAAATACAAATATATTATCTTAACATTTAGACGAAAGCGAAGACATAGAACATGGTTGGGGTGAATTAGATAAAGATGCAGAAACGACCGACGAAATAACTCGTAAATTAGCCGTTTGCAATATGAACTGGGATAGAATACGTGCCGTAGATCTAATGGTCCTATTTCATTCATTTTTACCCAGCGGTGGTATTATTCATTCTGTTACGGTAATATTCATTATTTTTCAACTAAAGCATAAATTTTATTGAAGTATTAACTCTACTCTCTATATATTAACATTATAACAGCATATTAACAACTCTATTCTAACTATCAAGCTTTTCTCGATATTATAGATTTATCCATCAGAATTTGGCCTAGAACGTATGAAAGAAGAAGAAATAAAAGGACCGGTAGAACTGGTCAATGATAAAAAAGAAGAAGATCACAGCGAAAACGATGTAAGTTTAATTATTGACACCATGAATGAACATTTCACATAAAAATAAACGTCCTTATTTTTCTTTCATTGTTACAGAACGAAGAAGGCTCGAATTATCATATGGAAAAATTAAGGAGATATCAATTGAATAGATTAAAGTATTATTATGCAGTATTAGAATGCGATTCCGCAGAAACTGCTAACAAAATTTATACCGATTGCGATGGTATCGAATATGAGTCAACTGCAACAAGGCTAGATTTGAGATTTATACCAGATGACATGAATTTCGATCAGGTATTCAAATTCTCTATCTTTATTTATTGCTTACTATATTTGTTGCATTTAATAAATGAAGATTTATTTTATTTTAGGAACCTCGAGAAGTATGTACCGAATTGCCAGAAATTTCTAAATATCAACCACGTCAATTTATTACTACTGCGTTGCAACAAGCAAAAGTACAATTAACGTGGGATGAAACAAACCCAGAAAGGGAAGAATTAGCAAATAGACTTAATTCTGGAAAAATTAACGAAATAAATGAGAAAGATTTGCAAGCTTATTTAGCGAATGGAACTAGCGATGATGATACAGGTAAATCGATGTACAATACAGTGATCTAATGTAGAATAATATTATCTCATTAATATATTCACATTTTAGACAAGGAAATTGAACAAGACGATAGGCACCAAAGAGAAATTCAAGAGGATCTAAATACACCTAATGATCCCATCGAAAAATATAAATCCTTGTTGAAACAATTGGACGAAGATGAAGAAGCAAAAAAAAACAAAGACGTTGAATTAGAATTTACATGGGGCATTGGAACGGAAGAGAAAACAGAGAACGAGAACTTAAACTTCAACGAGAAATTAAATAAAAACAAAAATTTGGCTCCATTCGAGAAATATTTAGCAAAACGAAAAACCAAACAAAAAGCACGGAAGGAAGAAATAAAAAAATTGATAGAATTACACGACGATAAAATATCGAATTCGGATGATTCCGATGTTAATTTTTCGAAAAATAATAAACCGATAAATAGCCGGTTATCATGTAAAAAGCAACAAATAGCTGGAGAAAATGGCGATGTTGATTCTTCATCTGTGGAAGACGAAAAAACGAAACATGTGGATGAATTAGAATTACTTTTAATGGATGAAACCGAGAACGAAAATAAGAAACATTTCGACATGAACAAAATAGAAGCTAATACGAATTTGTCAAAATCTAAGCGCAAAAGACTGAAGAAAAAACAGAATGTACAAAAAATCGAGGAGGATCAATTTCAAGTAAACGTAAACGACCCCAGATTTGCCTCGCTATTTACATCGCATAATTACAACATTGATCCTGCAGATCCTCATTATAGAAAAACCAAGGGCACCGAAACCTTAATTCAAGAGAAATTAAAAAGAAGAGTCGAACATACTCCTGTCGATGTAAGTATTCAAGATTTTCCTATTTCGGATAATTTACATGTTTTTCTAATTTTGTCAATATTTTAGGTAAAGGAAGAAAAGATGTCTGAAAATAATAAAAAATTGAAACTAGAATTGCAAGCGTTAGTTAAATCAGTGAAGAGAAATACTAAAACTATCTCTCAATCAATAAAATGATGACCCTTGTGATTATATGATTTGTTATTCAACTTCTTCCAAATATTAAACGCAATTTATTACTGTTTAAATGTTCATTAATTCGTTAGTATAATGAAAACTTCATCGTGAAATACATGATCTCTAATATTATATATATATATATATATATATATATATATTATTAGAGTATAGACTCTAACAATAAACTCAGAAACTTTTGATTACTTATTCTATATACATATATCTTTGCACAAACATTATTCTTGTCTTTTTACACTTATTAAACACTATCAAAGAAATCGCGATTGTACATTGACTTTATTTAACACAATTATTTACAACAGCATGATTTCTTATTTTTTATTTTTGTTTTTCTACACGTTCACATTTGTTTTCAATAATCCCTTTCCTTCATTCATTTGAACATATTAAATAAATATTCTTCTAAGATAACCAGCAAAATTTGATTTGTACTCGCTTAGATTGTATCTTAATCATCCTAATCAGTCCGTCTCAGATTAATCTCTTAGTAATTATTGCTTATATTTCAATACATCAAATAAATCGTTTATTTTGATAGTGACCTAAGTCTATTTTTTATTTTTTCCGCGAAATTTTTGTTTATGACTGTTGTAGATGTTATTACGTTCAACAACAACAAAATACTAAAATGGACTTAGGCTTCTTTCAAAATAAACGTCTTAAATATGAAAGTTAAAAAATTACTATTTTTTATGATGTACACGGAACGAAATATACCGTCGTAAAAAGGAACTATCGAACAATTTTGTTTTGATATTTTTTACTAAAAACGCATTTTTAACAATTTAAATAACAAATATTTCGCGTAAAATGAAAAATCCAGTTAGTAATTAGGATTATTCTTCTGTTTTTTTTCAACATGCACACACATTGCTTCTTCAACTTGCTTTCCAAATAAATAGCCTTGTTAGTAAAATTGTTAAGACAATATTTGATTGGTAGAGAAAATATATCCATTGCCAGCACTGTACACAGAATTATTGCATTCTATAAAATAATAATAACAAATTTCCACTTCAAATATAAAATTAGATGTTCCTTACAGAATGCTTTCACCTATGTTTTTATCTATTACAAGGCCATAGCTAAGAATTAGAAGAGTCGAAATATATAATGTAAATACATTACTCGATATATTTGTATCTACAGAAAAGATAGAAATGATATATATGTTATTGTCTAAATAAGTTCATTCAGGGAAGTAAACGATGAGGAAGACCGAATAAATCTTTAAATATAAGAAACATTTTTTTTTTTCCAAGGAAAGATGACAAGAAGATTATTCTAATAAGATGTAATGCGATTATTCTAATAAGATGTAATGCGACATTCACACACATTCCCCAAATTTAAAATTTCCATTAAACTCGATAAGCCATAGATTTTAATTGAGATACAAAAATAACCTACATCGAGATTCTAGTTTCGTGTAATCAAAGACGATAATTTTTAAAAATATTTTTAAAATCTTTTTTTACTTGCGTCTGTAGCAAAGTAAAAGTTTAAATGATGTTTACATCATTAAATTACATTACTATCACAAGTCAGAGTAATAAATTATATTACATTGTAACGTTTTCGTAAAAATAATAAAGACAAATTTAAATATTATGTAATTAAGAGAAATCCAATCATTTTCGTTCCCAAACTAACAAACAAACGCGAAACAGTAAACTACAAGTTATAACAATTTACCGACTAGATATTACAATTTTAATCCGTATCTTCTGGCCCAGAAGATTGTACGACAGTTATTGAAGATGGTATAATTAATTTGTCTTCTATATCCACTTCTGAAAACAAGAAATTCCCACCTTCGCGTACTTCTTCCTCTCGTGCAGGCTCCGGAGGAATCAACGTATCTTGGCCATGTTGTTTCAAATGATCTTTTAAAGCAAACGCTCTACCGTAAGACGCTCCACAGATGTAACAACTAAATTTTAAATTATTGTCTTTCTTATGTGTTTGAATGTGCGCCCTTGCTGCATACAAAGATGCGAAAGGTCTCGAACATTCCGTACAACGAAATGGCTTGGTATGACTATTTTTATGACCGGCTAACTGTACTCTAGTTTTAAAAGTTTTTGGACAATAAGGACATGTATAAGCACGCTCCTCTCCGTGAGTAAGTAAATGATGATTATACACAGAAGAAGCTTTAAACCTTTTGCCGCAATGTTGACAGCCATATGGTCTTACTCCTGTATGTGTCCTCATATGTAACGTCAAACAGTATGAAACACGAAAAGTTTTTCCACAAACCTAACAAAGAATAATGATGTTTTCTTTATAGTACGCTATTCAAATAAAAGAAAAAGAAAAAAAGAAAAAAAAAAAAAAAAAGAGAGAGAGAAACGAGGTATACATACTTCGCAAACATGAGGCTTCTCTCCGGTATGAATACGCTCGTGTTTTACCTTCTCGTGCGGTCTGGTAAATCTTCGACCGCAGTGTTGGCACTGATAAGGTTTCTGATTTTCAGTCGATTCATTGACTTCGCTTGTAGGAGGAGTTGGAGAATGTGACTGACTCAATTCGGTGTGGACCGCAGCATGCATCGCTAAACTATCAGCAGAGTCAAACTTTCTATTACAAACTGTACAAGTTACGGATTCACCTGTATGCAACGACATATGCGCTTCTTTATATGATTCTGATAAAGTTTTACCTACAAAAGTAAAATTTAGATCAATATTATTTGATTAAAGTATTACAAACTAATTGTAAGTAAACTATTTGTTATTGAATATAAATATAAACAAAAGTCGAGATTACCACATTCAGGACAAGTAAACGTCGCATCGAGAGTTCCTTCCGGTGCATCGACATGTCGTGCTCTCACCGGTGCGTGCATACGAGAATGCAATCGTAAGCTTTTGTGAGAACAAAATTCAGTACCACACGTAGGGCATACAAACACTCGTTGATTAGAATCAGATTCACCCTCGTGTACCTTGGAATGAAGTTGTAACGCTTTTGACGTTGCGAAAGTTTGATCGCAAGTGTCGCAACGATTATTTCCTCGAAGACACGCGTGCTCTCGTAAACTTGCTAATTTATTCAATTGTTCCAGGCCTTGATTGCATCTGTACATTTTCACCGATGTAGGAGCTATCCTCTTCTCTCTTACCTTGATACACAAAATATAAGCTAACTACTCTCGTGACAGGTATTGTTTGATGGTTCTTAATATTCAAGAGAATTATCCGTACCTTAACGCCTTCTACATTTGAAAAAAATTTCTCAATCATTGGTGCCTTAACGGATTGCACTGGTGGAACTTCCATTGAATTTCTATCCCAAAATCTTTCTACTTGAACAACTTTTCTAGTATATAATTTTCCTTCACTATCTACACATTCTTCGGTATAAAGCGTATTCATAGTTTGAGATTGTGTATTAGTGGTATTATCAGTTTCCTCTGGGAGAACAGAAGTTGTGGGTACAGATGATAAATCGTCCAACTGTTCTGCCATTTCAAGCAGCACTTCTTGTCCATCATGAAACTGTTTAATATGTTCCAAAACGGAATTGAAGCTCATGTCGCAAGTTGTACAGCTATAAACTGCTTCTGGTTCTAGCTATGGAATAAGATAATATTCTTTGAAACTACTAACCAAAATATTTTTAATTAATTTATATGCAATTATATAATATTTTGCTTTTATCTGAAAGATACTTTTTTAATGAAATATCCATTTTTATGGTGCATATAAATTCTGAAATTAATAGATACATAATTGATCATTATCATTTTATCAAAAATTTGTTTCCAACCAAATAAATGAAAAAGAGTTATATTCTTTTAGACGATATTGGCTTCAATTCTATTGCATGCACGTGCAAAAATATGAAAGATAAAAACGTGTTATACCTCTTCTACTTTTACCTCACAGAGCTCCTGTTTAACACGAAGTAATCCACTTTCATCAAGTTCCCCAACATCATTTATATGGTCCATATTTATCAAGGCACTAGCACCTCCATCCAAAAGTTCAGAACTACTGGATAAAATGGTTATTATATTCTTATCGCCTGATATATCTTCTGTGCCAGAGGTTGACGGAGATACCAATGTATTTGAAATTGAAGATTTATCATCTCTTTCTTTGATGACATCATTTAATTTTTCACTCATTTTCAAGTCCAACGAACTATGATCTACTTCTGATTTCTCCATACCAGTATTTTCTATTACTTTAATGTCTCCTGATATTTATGTCAGAAATAACATTCAATGGAATCAAATAAATGTAAATAAAGAAAATTCTTACACACCGTTTTCGTCAACTTGTATAGTTTCAGATTCTCCTACTATCATAATATCATTATTATTTACAGTTGTTAGAAAAGTTTGATTAATCTGCTCGATATGTGTATCCTAAAGTAAAGTTATTCAAAATAAGTATCAATCATATTTTATATATCATAATACATAAGTACGTAGAGAAAAACTAAACAAATTATACCATTAAAACCTCGGAAGTTGTGACTGTTTCTTTACAAGTTTTCTGCTTGTTGTTTTCTTCGTTATCTTGAAACGTCTTTGAATCTAAATCTTGACCGCATCTATCCAAGTGCTGTATCAAGGCCGTTACCGAATCTGAACGCTGCGAACATCCAGGACAATACAAATTGTCCGTCATGCTGAGCAAGTGGTACTTCAATGACTGCGGATCGTTAAATGTTTCACCACAGCACATTGGGCAAATTAGATTCAATGATCCCATTGTTTTTTAATTTTTTGTCTCCCTTACATATATATAGATATACATATATATATATACACATACACACAAATTATACATACAAATATATATATATATATCTATATATATACATGTATGTACGTATGTATGATATGTAAACTGTTGTTTAGATAATTTAACTAATTACTTATCTAATGATGAATTAGTATTGGAATAATGTCTCTTAAATTAGTCTAAATGTTTATACAGACTTTTTTACAAAGGAGCTAACCTGACGTCGAACGATAAAAAATTTACACGATCTAAATTTATAAAAACACCGAACAAAGTCATTTTGCCTGACCTGATATGTCAAGTTTCTTGTAAAAAGTCCACTTATTTGTATTTATTCTGTTTTCTAAAAAGAATCACCACTTTCAACCGGCATTAACGATAATAACAAACCATTAGAGACGAACTTCAGCGCAAACAAATGCCGTACACAACAATCATGAAGTTAGGGAAATGATAAGTGAATCACGAAGTCGGCCATTATGGATACAACGTGAATCAAATGCGTAATCTTCGAAGTCAAGTTCGTGTTGGTTAAAACTTGATGTAACTTTTTTTTTGATTAATTTTCATTAGCGTTAGATTTGACGTTTGGAAGCGATTTTCATTATTATTTAGACGCGTTTAATTGACAAAAAATGGGTGATAAAACATTCGCAGACCTGATTTTTCACATACCATAGGAAATGAATACAGATAACTATTACATATGTATATAAAATTGACACGAAATATGTATACTTTTTACTTGAAGGAAATTATGAACATACTACAGTGAAAGTAAAATAATCGATATACATATTATTAGTTTTCAAAGAACAAACATATATTTTTACTTATCAAATAAGACGACAATACTATTATTTTAAGTCAAACTTTCTTAGTTGGATGAACATATTGCTTTATAAATAAATAAGAAATAAAAAAATAAAAGAAACCTAATCAACGTGCTCGTGCTGCGCGTTACTTTCTCGCCATGTATTTTGAACTAATTCAATGAACTGTTGCCACCATCTGCTTTTAGATGTAAAATATAAAGCGCATGCAGCAATGAAAATCCAAGATAGTACTAAACAATAATCAGTTTCGTTGGAAGGCGTGCTAGGTACTGGACCACTGAAATCTGCGGATGTAACCAACAAAAAACTAATCGGATAAAATACGGTAAAATGCATAATAAGTCTTGCAAATAACTCCAATTTGTAAACGGTGCCATTAAACTTAGCTATGGGTTTCCCGTTATGTACTAGCATCAATGTTGGTACTCCTACTATGCCGTATTGTGCATTGAAGCTACAAATGAAAAAAAGCAACAATTTAGAAGATAAATATTGTAAATTCAAATAGATTTCTAATTGTGGTCTATTAATGAAATACCTTTGATGTCTTATCGCATCTATAGCTACGCATTTAATATGAGGAAATAATCTTGCCAATGCATTGAAGTGTGGTGCTGCTTGACTACTAAAAACACACCATCTGGCATAAAACAAAACTAGCACGCATGTTCCTGGTTGTTGTCTACCATTTTGATCATTCCTAGTTCGATTCGACGGTCCAGGCTCTAAGATTAGCAATTCCATAAGTCTTGTCGCATTGACTAACTACAAATAATATTACATAAGATTACATAGGATTCAAAATGTATATATAAGAAATAAGTAATTGTGGTAGGCCATCTTACTTCCACCGATCCATAAATTTTACCAGTTAAACAATTTAGGCTATTTGTTTTATGTAGAGAACTATTTTTTAATGACATATTTGTCATCAGTTCTAAAACTTTTTGATCGCTTACATCATTATCTTTAGTTATATACATTTTTTCTGCATCCTCATCAGAGAGATTATCCTCGGATTTTGTTTCTACGGCACATTCGTCAGTCTGCCCTAATACACTTATTATCGAAGCTATATAATATCAATAACAATAATAATAATAATATTAACAGTTGATTTTTATCGATCACTATATTATTTGCATTCTATTTAAATAATTAAAATTCTCACCTAGTACTAGCATAAATAAACTTAAACTTTTTCCAAAAATATACATTTTACATTTATATATATATATATATATATATATATATATATAACCTAATGGTGCAAGTTGAACATTTATCTATTAGAGAAAAGTACAGAGAATAATTTAATCCAAAAATTTGTTCTCGCACGGAAAGCCCACATGAAATAATGCAAGGTTAACGAATTACTGTATTTGAAAGATAATTAACGATTTTCAATTCATCCAAATATTTTGGCATTAGTTTCATTTTCACTGATTGTTAGCGTTTCTTAATCATTGACTCTTGTCATTTATAGAGAATCGACTGTCCAAAACAACCATTAACAATATCAATGACAGATGATGTGCCAATGATACACCAATTAGAGCTTAACTTCATTTTTTGTAGCACCCTCTTTTGCTAGGAAATTTTCGGAAAACAATAAGTTATTTAATGGATGTAAATACAAAACATACATTGTTTATTGTTTTAATTATAAGATACGATAAAAAAAATTTGTATACTGTCATTGACTTACCTACATGTTAAGTAAAGGACCAATAAACGACGAATGCTGATTGGTTCGATATTCCGCGGTAAATCGTCAATATTCAATAGAATATCATGAATGTCTGTCATTGAGTTTCTAATACTTCCCCAAGATTAAAATATCCCTCTTAATTCATGTTAGAAAGAAAAGTATAGTATAATATAAGTAAATAATATGATAAATATATTATATGGCATATTTTTGCCACGTAAGAAAAAAGAGAAATTATAGTTATTTAACGAGATAAGAGAGCCCTCTACGGTTCTTTCGCTCATTTCTCTTCAATGTTCGCTGTCAATGTTCGATATAGATTTAATAGTTGCCGGTGAATGCTTGCGACGACAAGCAAAGAGTGGTCTTCTCTTGTTTCGCTCATTTTCTTATAGTCATTTTTCTTCGTCAATCAAAATCATGATACACAGTTGGATTATATTTTCTATTACGTAGTCAATATAGAACAATTTAAATACGAATATAAACTTAAAATGTATACAACAATCGGAAGCAGTAAAGTGCATAAAATGCATACGAATGCAGTATTAATTTCACTATTACTGTCACGTCGCATCAAGGACCATGCAGCAAGGTAAACATTTAAACGATTACGGTGAACTCTTAATCTGTCATTAAAAATATACTAAAACATGTCTATTTTTATAAATACGAAATCAATTCGTGTACCTGAGTGAATGAAATTAAACGACCATCGATGAAATCGCTATGGACCGATTGATTAATATAACATGTAAACATTTTAATATGGTATGTATATTTGAATTATATCTATACATTGCCTTGCACACAAATTTGAATATTCACATTGTTTAATATATTTGCGATAAACGTTATTTATGCGTAGTCTGTAATCTGAAAATAATAGGGATAACTATACTTGAATTAACGAACAAATCTTTGATATATTTTCATTGTTTCTATCTAAGAAAGTGATAAAATTTAATTAGTAAGAATAATCTATATAAATTTACATGTAGATATAGAAATATGTTTCTGGTACATATTGCAAAATCATCTATGAGTCATATTTCCCTTTAGTTTACATTTGCTCCTTGCAAATGCATTCAGCTAACCATGCATGACCTTGTGTTAAAGATGCACGAATAGTATAATTTATATTGTTTGTATGTGAATACAGGCATATGAGGAACATTACATTGCATAAGAGGGATTGTATGTACATATTAACAATGCACATATACAATATTATTTATATATGAAAGGTTACATTTCACTCTTATCAGTACTTAGTAATATTTCACGTAGTTGAGCATTGGAATGGTGTGCTAGAATAAGCATAATTGTATCTTTCATCGGATCGTTTTAGTTTTGCTTTTGTTGTTCTTACTGCTAAGAACTCTATTCATGACAACTATCACATTATTTTGTGCAAATAAAAAGCTATCCACGTGTACTATCTATTAAAAAGAAAGATAATATAGTTTATACTATTTTAATAATATAAAAAAATAAAAGACAAATTTATGCTAATATATTTACGAACGAAAGAGTACGGTAAAAAATTTGATTTCTATTTTTCGTTAAGATCTAATATATTGCATGCAAGTAATCTACAATAGATCTACTATAGGTTACATATTTTATTAGCAAATATGTAGTCTATTGAAACATAAACTATTGTATTTATTGAGCATTTTGGAGTATTTAAAATTTTTCGAAGCTAATAAGTTTAGAGTAACCATATATTTTATAAATAAAATATTTCATTACTTCCCCCCGCTATTGATATTTGATTATTTTCATTCGTGAATAAATACGAGGAGAATCGGAATTCTATAATCTTGTTCAAATATATAAATTAATATTAGTATATAAGATTATTTAAAAATGTAATACTATCTTAAAAATAAAATTTAAATGAAGACGCGACAAGATAAATGCTGAAGAAAGCCAAAAAAACGCGCGAAATGATGTAGAAAAATTAATTCGTTATAAATAGATAAGATAAGGCGAACAAGCTCACTATTACTTGACTAATATTTTTACTTATCTTATTATACCGTCGAGCATTTCAAGCATTTCGTCAGCACAAGTTTAATATTTAATTTATTTATTTCGTGATAATTTAATGACTTAAACGAGTATTTGAATAATCAGTGATCGTATGTGTTGCTTACCAAATATTTCAGACAATTGTAAACAAGCAAAATATAATGATTTTCTATACATAAGCAATCAACTGTACAAGGAGAAACAATAAATATTATCAAATGCGGTGCAGAATATATATAATGCTTGTCTCTTTATTAAGATAATCAACTCTTTTATTTAATATCATGGTTCAGCAACGATTTCCAAGTTTTGATGGTAATTATGTTATTATCACTAAACCGTATTTAAGTATTCCATGGGAATTATTCTATATCCGGTATTAATTAATAATTGTAATAATTTATGTAATGTATCAAATGAACAATGAAAAAATGGCATGTTTAGGTGGACGAAGTGGACGCCGCTTTGTTATAACTCTGTCAGCTGGCACAGTCATTGGCTTTTTAACAGCATGTCTTCTTTTTTCTTCTGCTGGAGAAATATCTCATATATTTACACGAATTCCTGGAAGTTCATCTCTGATAAGAGACCCGCATCATTATTCAGAACTTGAACCAGAGGTATTACTTTGAAATACTTTCATTATTTTTCTTCCATTGAAATATATTATTATTCTATAAGAATATTGAAATATATTATTTATCTATAAAAAAATCTCAATACATGATACGCGCACGCGCGCGCATATATATTTTGAATATTACATTAGGTTGGGCCTGAGATAGAAGTAAAATTTCACAATGAAAATGAAGATTTTCATAAAGGAGAAGATAAGGTAGCACAAGTATTAGCAAAAAAAGTTCGTGTCCTTTGTTGGATTATGACTGGACCAAAAAATCATCAAAGTAAGGCTCGGCATGTTAAAGCCACATGGGGAAAACGCTGTAATATTCTTTTATTTATGAGTTCTGCGGAAGGTACGTAATGAAACATTCGAAGTGGTATTTTTGTTTAATCATTATCTTTTACTTCATCTTTTTTCTTTCCTTTTTTTTTTTTTTTTGTTTATTTCAATATGTATCATTGTATAACAATAATTCATATCTGTAACATATTATATTGTATCATTTTCATGCAACAAGTGTAAGTAAATGAAATATATAAAAGTCTAATTTGAGGTGAAGGGGTTGTATGATTTTATAGTTTCTTTCTTACAAGATTATAAAAAATAAAAAAAAACAGTTGCTATATAAAATGAAATGATAATATATTTATATAATATTTCATTATTTTTTCATTATTTCCAGATGTAAGTTTACCCACTGTAGTGCTACCAGTAAAAGAAGGCAGAGATAATCTGTGGGCTAAAACCAAAGAAGCATTTAAATATGCTTATGAAAAGTACAAAGATCAAGTAGATTGGTTCATGAAGGCTGACGATGACACGTAAGTAAAATTTCATTTACTTTTGTTCAATAAAAATATTTCGTATCATAAATTATATCTATATATCACAATTGTGATTAATATTTTAATATTAGAGAGAGAATAACATATTTCATAGTGGATATTTTGGTTAATCGCATTATGTAATCGACAATTCCAGGTACGTTGTGGTTGAAAATCTCCGTTACATGCTATCATCTTACAACCCAAGTATGCCATTGTATTTTGGATGCAGATTCAAACCTTTTGTAAAGCAAGGATATATGAGCGGAGGTGCTGGATACGTAGTTAGCAAAGAAGGTCTTCGTAAATTCGTAACGGAAGGTCTTCCCGACAAAACCAAGTGTCGTGCTGATAACGGTGGTGCGGAGGATGTCGAAATGGGAAAGTGTCTAGAAAAAATTGGCGTTCGCGCGATGGATACTAGAGACTCGCATGGCCGTGGAAGGTTCTTTCCATTTGTGCCAGAGCATCATTTAATACCTAATCATGTGGATAAAAATTTTTGGTACTGGAAATACATCTATTATGACACCAAAGATGGATTCGATTGCTGTTCCGATAGTGCGATATCGTTTCATTATGTTTCGCCGAATATGATGTACGTCCTTGAATATTTAATATATCACTTAAGACCATATGGCATTAACCATGGCTTGGAAAATCCTTTGCCAGAAATGCCATCTACATTGACCGAATACTAGTCTATACTTTGTCAAAATTAGAAAGTATGGAAGAAGAGATACGTATATACATTTATATATATATATATATATATATATATCTTTTTTCTATATGCATTGCTAGTCTGTTCCAACCATCAATTTGAACAAGTTGATAGCATGAATAGTATAGAACATTATATAAAATACAAAAACATGTGATAAATTATACTTCGTCATATTAACACGTTTATACGAATGTAATTTCAATATTAGGAAGTTGTAGTCCTACTAAAATTTCTAGTTGTACAAGATGCAATGACGCCTTGTTCTTTACCTACATTCATCAAATAAAATTCTAATATGTCTCTTTCTATTTTAGTTTGTTGTATTTTGTTTCTATTAAAGGTTGTAAATGGTTAAATACGTGTACGTTGTTGCATCAAGTGTAACCGTTTAAGCGAAGGCTGCAGACACAATGAATTAAAATAGAGATGAGGCTATTAACCAAATAAAATGGGAAACATACTTTGTAGAAAAATGTTAATGGTAAGCACAATTTAGGAGACTAGACTACTAGAGTAATTAAGAAATTAGTGATCTCAACAAAGTAACATACAAACTCTTTCTATAAAAGCACAATTTAACGAATTAGTGCCACAATAGACCATTGCTGGGAGAATCCTTGTTTCTTTGCTAGTCGCACTACTGTGCTTCACGCGTTCTAGTCTCATCGCTAACCTCGTCACTATCAACTTTATTATGTTTGCTGCCTTGGACTATGTCCAATGTGCACCAACAATCAACGTGTACAAATATATCCATACGATATTATGCTAAGACGTAACAATTGGAAATGTTTACTTGCATATGTGCAGCTTGTACCGATGAAAGGAAAATAAAATAAATTTATTATAGGCTCCAACTCAATGAGGTTACTCTAAATTAAAAAAATATTATAATTTTTGATTTATAATTTTTGATTGACAGGAAGAATCGCATGTACAGGATACACACGTACATTTTGGTTGTTTATACATTGAACATAGTATAAGAATGAGGATAGGTATATATTGCAAGCATAGCAGAAATTTGCTAATCCTTCAGTCCAAAATTTTATTCAAATTGGTACACTCTTAGGGATCGTTTTAAGCGTACCATATTGTTACATAACATGGTAACATTGTAATTATTATCTAATGTGTGAACTGAAAGATGATGTATATCTTATGTGAATATACATGCCATAAGAAATAAAACCTTGTTTTTAATGACACCGCTATCCTTGTGTACAAAATAACTCACTCAAGATATAGGCACCTTTCTAAAAGCTCATTAATCATTCATGTTACATCAGATAATATGAAAAAAAGCTTGCAAACATTTTTTTATACAATTTTTCATAGATTGTGTAATATTTTGGTCACCGATATGTTATCACATGTACTTGCGCACACAACTTATGAATATCAGTACAATAATTAAACTTTAGAACATTAGAGAACATTTAACAAGGCACGCTTCCACTATGCTTGCTATATAAATTTTAAACACATATTGAATATATACACATATATATATATATATATATATATATATATATATAT